CGCGGGACCACCCAGCACAGCAGATAGCGCTGCTCCTCGCCAGCCGCTGCACGGCCCCGGCGTTAATTGCAGCGGGGGGAGGAATTAATGATCTTAATCCCTTCTTTATGATTGACCCGAGTAAAGACGGTGAGGGCCCCCCCGTGCCGTTCCTGCCCCTTTTCCGGCCCCCATCCCTCGGGGAAGGCGCCGGGCAGCGTCATCTGGGTCCCTGTCAGAAGGTGCTTAGTCCCGGCCGGCCGCCGCATTAAGGGGCACGTGATGGGCTCCCTCGGCCCGGTCTGTGCACGGGGCAGCTTAACAGCCTGGAGCCACGCCAGGGTTCAAGGGGACACCACCAAGGTCGGGAGGCCCCAACCCACCACCAGGGCTTCCCAAGCCTTTGCAGGACACTGTTCCTCCCCTGCATCCAACACCCTGCCGTGGCCAAGGTTCAAAGGACAGGGGGTCCCAAGATGAGGGACTGCACGTGTGGAACATGTTGTCCTGAGAAGCTGTGGCTGTCCCATCCCTGGAAATGTTACAGGTCAAATTGGAGGGTTACCCAGTTAGTCCAGAGTCTGGAGTAATCTGGTGTGGTGGAACATGTCCCTGTCACGGCAGAGGGTGGAATGAGATGATCTTTAAGGAACTTCAAACCCAAACCATTCTGTGATTCTATGATTTCCATGGGTCATCCCAAAGACCTGCCTCCCACCAGCCTGGAATGCTCAGATGGGGCAAAGCAGCTGTGCTCTCCCATGATCCTGGTGGGGAAAAAATGGGATACTCCTCTGCATGGGTCTTCCCCCATTTCTCAGCCCTACACCACCCCTCACCTCCTTCACTCTGCCCCAGGGCTCCCTGCACCCCAGCACACAGGGGACTGCTCTGCAATAGTCCTGACAATGCCAAAATAAATAAAGGTTGCAAAAGGATCATCTCTGGTGGTCCGGAAAAACCCCTGCCAGCCAGGGAGACCGGCTGAGAGTCCCCTCAGTTGCAGGCACCATTCACTGTCAGAGGGGAGCAGGAGAGGAGCTTCGTTTTTCCTAAAAAAAATGACAAGCTGCAAATTCCAGCTGGCTCCCCTGTGTTTTCGCTGCATGGCTGGAAAGCCATCAGCTCCCGCCGACCTAAAAAGTCTCGTCTTCAAGAGAGAACTTCTGCTTTCCTTTAATTTTAAATAAATCACCCTGCTCCCAGCAAAGCCGCCGGTTGGTCAGCCGTGCACAGACACGGCGTGAAGGGAGAAGAAAGCAGCAAAGCTGAAGCCGAGCTGCTCCAGGCTCCGGAAACAAAAGGAGAAAATCAAAATTCTCCTTTTTTCTAATCCCTGGGCGCTGGGTGGGCACTGGGGGCGGTGGCTTTGTCCGCCCGCAGCAGACGGAGGACGAGGACGGAAGGGACCCCGGCGTCTTTTCAGCCTGCAGAAAGGCTGCAATTGTCCCCTCTGCCGCGGTTTTGTCCCCACTTCCTCCCCCTCGCCGCGTGGCCGCCCGCCCGGCATGGCCCCCACCTCCTGCCCACCACCATCACCCCCTGCTGATGGATGGACAGACAGACAGATGGGTGGACTCAGCCGTGCCATGGACTGACCAAAGTAGGGCGTCCATCACCAGTGTGTGCCCCTCTCAAAGGCATCCCAGGAAAT